AAAGCCCCTCCAAATATACCATGTAAACCTAATACAACTCTGAAAGGATTGTGAGGCTTTTTCAGTAGAAAGTAGCCCTTATTACCACCAAAAGGTATACCATAGTTTAGAATGTCAGAGAGCCTGCCTACTACTGATATTCAAGGGGTGAGAGAGTTCTTGTAGAAAAAAGGTGTTTTCTGAATGTCCTTGTCAAACTAACAGGATTTACCATGAAATTGTGACTAGGCATGAGTTCTTTGTACGGTCTGAATGCAGGTTTACTGGAAGTGGCAGGAGAGGCAGAAATGCTGCGCCACCACAGAAAACAATTAGGTTGTCTCAGAAGACATGCAAGGAGGGAAGGGGCTGTACTAAGGAGTTGACACTTTCTGGAGTAGACACATTTTCTAGCAAGTTCAAATGGACAATACAAATCAATAAAACAGTGTTTATGGAAAAGAAAAACAATGCAAGTCAAATTTAAAAAAAGGAAATAAACCATTTAAAATACTTAATTTTCTGTGCTTTTACTCACTTTTTAAATAAAAAGTGGTTGACAGGGTCTCTCTAAGGTATGCGGATGAACAGTATAGTACATTATTACAAAAAAAACAGAACTCAACATTTTTACCATTGTAAGATTTAAAAAAAGACTTTAAAAATTTTACTATCAGTGCCTAGTAAATATAAATATTTATAAACCACTAATTCTCCTTTAAACATTTTCTTGTTATACTTCTTTAAAAATGTATTTTTACCAAAAGAAAACAGACATAAATTAATTTTTAATTTTTGCTTAAGCAAACCTGATATTTTGGATATTCCCATGCTGAAGATGTGACACTTAAGTGGGCTCATATGTCACACCTCATACATCTGCATTCCACAGATTAACATGTCACATTTCATTATGTCAGTTCACTGTGCTATATCTTGATCTACGGCCTGTAAAAGCAACACTGGATGAAATGTCAGCCCTTTGTCACATCAAAGTCAGTCGCTGGAGAGAAATTATAACACTCCAGACTTACTATAACTGCCATGTAGTAGAATTTCTATAGTGATACTAAATTTATATACAACCTTTATAAAAAAACAACTGTAAAAATATTGTATTTGGTATTTTAAATGGGTGTTATATATCTGCATGTGTAATATCAAGAAAAATATTGATGTTTAAAAATAGGGATGCAACGATATCGGTTTTTCGGTATCAACTACCAGTACCGATATTTTGCTTTCGGTACTTGCCGATATTGAGTACCAATACCAGTGCTTCCGCTGGCATGGAGTCAGCTTTCCGGGCAATCAGGAAGCCAGGCAGTGGGTAATGACATGCTGCCTGGCTTCCTGATTGCCCGGGAAGCTGGCTCCATGCTGTTTGGCCGGCTCGATTGTGATTGGCCGGCAAACCAGCCTCCCAGCCAATCAGCATTGAGTCGGGTGGCGAGTAATGACCCGCCTCCCAGCTTCCTGAATGGCCAGGAAGCCGGCTCCATGCTGATTGGCTGGAAAGCTGGTTCCCAGCCAATCACTATAGAGCCAGCTGTTCAACCACCTTGATGCTGATTGGCTGGGAAGTCCGGCTTTCCAGTCAATCAACAAGGAACCGGCTGTTTGTCCATCTCGATGCTGACTTTGCAATGTTGTTGACCTACCTGGCTAGAGACAAGCAGGCACCTAAAGCTGAACTCTGGGCAAATATAAAGACACATATGTAATCAATCCAAAATTTTTGAGTTGTAGAGGTAAGGGGGTATCTTCCAATCGGGGCACATGTTCCAGGGGCAACTCTCTAAGAGGGGAATTCCTCTCATTTTGGGAGATTTCCTCTAACTTCTGATTGCATCTCTAGGAAAGGAAGTGAAGGGAAATTTCCCCAATGGTATACAGACAGCAAAAAAATAAACTATTAATTATTAACCATTTCCCTACTCTATACAAGATTTAAAAAAAATGTTTTGTTTATACATATACTCTAAATGTAACCATATATTGGATGATTAAACCTGTTCAAAGTTTAACTAAAGGAAATAGCCAAACTTTCTGTTTTTTGGTACTTTTTTAACACAGGGTCATGTGCCAAGCTTGGAAGAATACAGACAGTCCCCAAGTTACATACATACGACTTACATATGACTACTACTTACAAACGGAGGGTATTACTGTACAGCAGGGGTAGTTGTAATGCTACCACGCTCATGCTGACGAGTGCCCGCCTTTTTGGGTCTGGTTTGTAGTACTGTACGTACATTACAGGAAGTTGGCTCTTCTTAGATGTGCAAACGAGGGGTGCCCACCTCTTCTTCTGGGTCACTCTGAGGTTTTACTGCTGTCTGTATCATTAGAAAGATTTAATCTCACTTCGTTTTCTTGAGACAACAGGAAGTGAAAGGAAATCTACCCCTAGGAAGGGAAATCCACTCCTGTAAGAGTGATCATGGGAAAAAGGTGTCACCACTGAAGCTTTGTCACCAATCCTTGTTTCCATGACAACCCAAAAATTTCAAAATCCAATTGTCACAGGGTCAGAAAGTGAGGTGAAATCTTCTGAAGAGGAGCACGCACAGCAGAACAAACTTTAGCGGGGGTAAACCCTTCACTATGCTATCCAAAACAAAACAAAAACATTTTTGGCTGGAGTTAAGGTGCCCATACACCTTACGATTATCGGACGAAACTTTTCGTCCAATGATCGAACCGTCGTACGATGGCCCCATCTTGCCCCGATTATCGCAAGGTCCAATTAGCGGTAGTTAAAAAAAACACCTGGACGACTTGCGGTAATTGACCGCAATTGTTTTCGTTTGCACATGCGCAGTGTTAATCGTACGACTTTTGACGGACGGAAACGCCACCAACCATGTGAACATCGTACGATCTAGCAAAGTTTTCAAACATGCTTGACCGTCAAAAGTCGTACGATTGTACAGTACTATTGGTTCGGGCACTCTATTCACACATTACGATTGTCGTACGAAAAGTCGATCGCATACGATTGTCGTACGATAATCGTAAGGTGTATGGGCACCTTTACACTTAAAACATTTATCTGTTCCAACTTACATACAGACTCAACTTAAGAACAAACTTACAGCCCCTATCTTGTTCGTAACCCGGGTACTGCCTGTACCTATAAAATCAATGAATAAATGTTGGCAATAAGTACCATATGATAGTCTACAGAAAACTCAATATGACCCGAAACTTCTACAATCTCAAAGAAAGGAATATATATTTTGAAGTTAAATTAGGGAAGTCGAATAAAACACTCACCAACACTATACTGTTTTGGTTCCAATTCAAAAAGGCATGATATATCAAGCATTAAAATGCATTTTGCATGCATCTAATTGGCTAAATGCGGAAGCAGGCAATAGCAATATTTAACAAAACCATCAAGGCGTTGGATGTTCTACTTACTTACGTTAGTTCTATCACAATGTTTAATTGCAGGAGGCACAGCGGAAGGAAAATGACGTGTTGAAGGTCACAGAGTGCCATGAGAAAATCCCCAGAGATCTAATCACTGATTCCTATTCTAGCATTAACCTGCTGAACTGTTCAACTGAGCACTTCCTAAGTAGTCGTTCTCACAATCAGAGACTTCTACAAGCAGAGCGCCTGTCCAGTACAAGACAAAACGCATCTACCCTAGCAAATGCCAATTACACTGTGTCGACCACTATGGAGGACATCATTACCACATTAGACAAGGTAATTTGCCGTCAAATGGCATATGAGCTCCAATTTCATTTTCAGACATCAAAGGACATGAAATGTTTTAAGACATTTAACACCAATAACTGCAAGCAGATAATTGTACATGTCACTTTTCTATAGTTATCAACCCTAAAATCATTCACAATTGTGATTTCCAGCACCTGCTTCTCAGGAGTTGGCATGTCTATTATTTTTAGCCTTGCTTCATAGACATTGTTTAGCCTTTGAAATCAGTTTCTGCCCCACTGGAACTTCAGGAGTATGTAAGCAACTCGTATGCACTTTAAAGTGAAGCTATGGGAGGCCTGAAAGCATTACATAGTTACATAGTATTTGAGGTTGAATAAAGACATAAGTCCATCAAGTCCAACCTATTGTGTGCATTTATATGGTTCTACTGATGTGTGCGTATGTATAGGTCTCTGTGTGATCTCATTTTTAAGAGTACCTGTACCCCTGTATATTAGGGTCCTTAAGGAAATCGTCCAAAAGCTTCTTGAACGATTCCACACTCTTAGCTGAAATCTCTGCATGTGGCAGTGAGTTCCAGACCCTAACCGCTCTAACTGAGAAGAACCCCCTTCTCCTCTTGTGCTGAAGTTTTTTCTCCACCAGTTTTAGGTGGTGGGCTCTAGTCTTTGTTATGGCGTTAATCATAAAGAGTTTGTTGTTAATGTTGCTTAAAATTATAAAATTATATAGATTTAAATTATAAATCAAAGCAACTGGACTTGTTGTATTTTTCTTGAAGACAGTTCACTGGTCATCCAACCAGCTCATTCTGAATTGAAAAGGCTAATGGGATGACCAGCAAAATGACTTTAACAAAAATATAGCAACTCCAGTTGCTTTGATTTATTTTTTAAAAATGAACAAAGGAAGATAGCAGAAAGGTATGTGGTCACAGGTGTGCTGTCAGCTACTTATTTTTAGGATTCCCACAGGTTTGCTTAAAGGAGGAAGTGCAGTCAAAACTGTGAACAGTTTTGGGAACACTCAGCCAAAGGTTTGGTGACACCAATGTCTTGAGAATAGGGGCTCGGTTCACTTCGGCTCGGTTTTTCACTCGGCTGCCTTTTGCACCTTAGTGCATAACCCCCTAAGTTTACATTTTGTGTTTTTAGGCTCCACCATTATAAATCCTTAGCCATACATACAACATATATTAAACTCAAAATCTAATCTTTAAATTACATAATCTCATGTACATACTTTTCATTTTTTTTCTTACACATTGCTGGGCTCTCCCAATACATCTTTCAGGTAATTAATGAAACCCAATTTCTTCTACTTACAGGTCCTGTCACTTGAGAGGCACTCTCAAATTCTTCATCATCTTCCATTAAGGTTTCTGCTCCAGGCAATGATGCTGTTCCAAGCAGACAATCATAAAAAACAATCAGGTTCATATAATTACTTTGGAATAATGAATCTCTTGAAATATGTAAACCCCCCTGGTTCTTGCCAAAACTATACAAATATGTTTAAGAGCAGGTTTCAAGTTACACAGGTAATACATTTTCTTTTTTTTTTGTAATCTTGTCTGCCACTGAACCTTTTTTTGATGAGTGACGTCTTCATGTATCCAAGCAGTGTATCTTATTTAATCATGTTGAAGACAAGCAGGCTGATACACCGTGCCAGGAATTACCACATGTTAAGCCTGAATTTTGTTATATAATTGATGCCTGTAGGATATTTAAGGTAGCTGAGATGCAGAATTCAGTTTAAATTACAGTCTTCTGTCATCTGTCTTCTTCCATATTTGTAATATCTCCATATTTTCCAAGTTATGAACATAAGTGTTCCATTAACTACCAATGTAAATATGTGGCTTACTTACAGGGCATGTTTAGATATGTTCAATGTAGTGATTATTGAAAATGTGGTTCACGTGTGATTATTCACTGCAGCGAAAAGCAACGACAGCAGGGCCATTTGGGTATTACAAGGACATTGTAGTAAGTACTGCAGTATGCCAAGCACAAAGTCTGATTATTGTGCACAGAAACGTATGGTAGCTTTAGTCAAGGACTGAAAGCTTGACTATTATTACTGACCCTACCAAGGGCAATTTTCTGTTTGTCTCAACTAGCTTTTGGTCACAGATATGACTAAATGGATCACCACCAACCTCTATCATTACCAGTTTACATAATATATTGCTGGGAGGTTGGTAGGTTGCCTTGGTCTGTTTACTTTTGCAGTACAAATCTAGCTGAAGTAGTTAGAGCAGTTAGTCCCAGTCTCATTATCTTCTGGTATTAAAGCAGAATTCCGGGCAGCATTTTTCTTAACCCTTGCAGGGGGCTACCCCCGCTATGTAAGCGTTAAGTGCTCGTTTATGTCTAGGTGCTAAAAAAAGTTATACTCGCCCGAACCGTGGAGCCAGCTGGCAGCTACTGTGGTCCCTGAAGCCTGTCTTCTCCTCTGCTGCAGTGATGGTATGTCCCTAAGCGTCCTCATGTTCTTTACACTGTATAGAACGTGATGACTCAAGGATCCTTAGACCACTGCAGTGGAGGGGGGGCAGGCTCCAGGGACCGGTCTAAGAGCAAGCCGTCTCCAAGGATCAAGCAAGTATAACTTTTTTTTAGCACTTAAATACAAACAAGCACTTAACCCTTTCAGTGCGGGGGTAGCCACATTGCAAGGGTTAAGAACCATTTTGCCCAGAGTTCTGTTTTAAAACATTAAAGAATGCATAGTTATGCTTCTTTTTGAAGTGGAAAGGACTGGGGAGCTCTCATGAAAAAGCCTTGTAGAGACACTAGCCTCCTTATTCAAGCTAGGAATTGTAGAGTTGTTGGATATTTTTTACTTCCTTTATTTTAAAATTATGTTAAACCATATGTAAATTTACAACCCCAATTCCAAAAAAGTTGGGATGCTGTCTAAAATCCACATAAAAACAGAATAAAATGATTTGCAAATCTCATAAACCCAGATATTATTCACAATAGAAAACAAAAAACATATCAAGTGTTTAAACTGAGAAAATCTACCATTTTAAGAAAAAAATAAGGTCATTTTTAAATTGATGGCAGCAACACGTCTCAAAAAAGTTGGGACAGGTCCATGTTTACCTTGCCTGATATAGGATATAGGATTCTAACTGCTCAACAGTCTTGGGTCTTCTTTGTCGTATTTTTTGTTTCAAGATATGCCAAATATTTTTAATTGGTGGTAAAAGGTCTGGACTGCAGTCAAGCCAGTTAAGGACCCCGGACTCTTCTACTAGGAAGCTGTGCTGTTGTCATAGATGCAGTTTGCGGTTTGGCATTGTGCTGCTGAAATATGCAAGGCCTTCCCTGAAAATGACATTGTCTGAACGGGAGCATTTGCTGCTCTAAAACCTGGATATATCTTTCAGCATTGATGGTGCCTTTTCAGATGTGCAAGCTGCCCATTTCATAGGCACTAATGCACCGCCACACCAAGGTCAGAGCCTTGACTCATTGCTGAGTTATTCTACCTCATGGTGAACACCCAGCTCCCTCCTGTGAACCTGTTTATTGATCTGACTTCCCGGCTATCGACCCTTTCGCCTGACCCTTCGCCTATGACTCTTGATGCCTGCCACAACCCGGAACTGGACTTGACCACTCTATTTGGATTACCCTTTTGTACTGCGATTTCGGACTTACTTCGTCCCTGCCAAGGGGTTCCACTCCTGGCCCGTCTTTTCGGCCTGATACCATCAGAGATGCAGGCTTTTGAACTGAGCACTGATAATAAACTAGAAGGTCCCTCTCTTCTTTAGGATGGAGGATGCATCCCCATGCTTGCCCAAAAAAAATGTTACATTTCGATTAGTCTGACCACAGAACAGTTTTCCCCTTTGCGACAGACCATTTCAAATGAGCTTTTGCCCAGAGAATGGAGCGTTGTTTCTAGATCATGTTCAGATATGGCTTCTTCTTTGCATTATGAGCTTTAACATGCATTTGTGGATGGAATGGTGAACTGTGTTTACAGACAGTGATTTTTTTTAAAGTATTTCAGAGCCCATGCAGTGATGTCCATCACAGAATCATTCCTGTTTTTAATGTAGAGCCTTCTGAGGGCCGGAAGTTCAGGGGCTATCATTATTGCATTTCAGCCTTGTCCCCTGTACAGAGAGATTTATCCGGATTCTCTGAATCTTTTGATGATATTATGTTCTGTAGATGATGATATTTTTAAAGTCTTTGCAAATTTACTTTGAGGAACATTATTCTGAAATTGTTCAACAATTGGTGAACCTCTGCCCATCTTTACTTCTGAGACACTGACTTTCTACGATGCTCTTTTTATACCCAATCGTGTTACTGACCTGTTGCTAATTAACCTAATTTGTTGCAAAATGTTCTTCCAGCTCATCCTTGTTAGTATCACTTGCGTTGTCTGTTTTTGTTGCCCTGTCCCAACTTTTTAGAAACATGTTGCTTCCATCAAAGTTACCTTATTTTTTATTTAAATCTTCATTTCAGTAGTGATGTGAAGGTCAGAGGAAGGAGCCACTGAATACTGCAGGGGACTCAGGAGATCAACACTCCCAGAAGTGTTGGTTTCCCATCAGCTTTCTGCAAGGGATTGCTCAGCAACAGAGTGGCGCTCTGGTGGTGTAGATTTACTGCTAAATATTAAAATATCTTAAAGTTCATAGCCTGTCCAAAGTTCTAATTTAAGGGGCCAAAACCGCATAGGTAAATTGCAAACGCTTCATAAGTGTTTATGACCCTAACAAAAAGTCCTACCAAAGCACACCATAATGTCTAC